TTGAACAGGAGTAGAGGTTTAGCTATTGTTACGGTTGGGTTTCCGGTTCCTTCCAAAGTCTTTTCCTTCTCTTTCACTTCCAGTAATCCCCTTGCGTTTTAGTGGCGTTATCGACTTACTTGGGGTGAATTACCTAAAAAAAAATATCATCATAATTATTACTATGGTACAGTCTCTGCTTTCATCCCTTCAATAAATAATAATAATAATAATAATAATCAATTAATATTATTAATTATATATTTTTATGCGAATGAAATAGTATCACCGTAATTCTGAAAATTTTTCTTGTTGGCGGTGAAAAAAATTATGCTGGAAAAATAAGACAAATATTTGTTTTTGTTTTTTTTAATAATAATAAACTTAAAATAACAACTTATGTTTAATTAATGAATTAATTTTGTGTTTTTTTTCTTTTTCTTTTTGTTTGTTTTTGTTTTGTTGTTTTACAGTAAGATTCTTTCTTTACATGGCCGAGGAGCCACTCAAGGTAGAGGGTTACGTTAGGGGGCAATTTGTTCGTATAGAAGTGGAAGATAACTCTTAATCCTAGCCTTAAACAGGTTAAGATTGTAGTGATCGGGAAAGCACCCTCTTTAGAGTCGGTTCCACACAGCAGCGGTTCGCGGGAAAAAGGTGTTAGATCTTAACTTACTTGTAACCGATAGAATACGGGGGGAATGTGGGTGGTTTGCTACTATGTAAGTGACATAACGGGTCCTTGCCATTAAGATTTGAATTGGCGGAACCAGGAAATATTGGTTATTATTGTATACAAGGATCTGTAAATAAATGCAAAAAAATAGAAACATGCGGAGAAAAAACACCCGTACTGATGAATCGGAAAACAATATTTTCAAGAGAAAAAAACTGACTGACGGGACATATAAAATTAGATTAATTCATAATACTCTTCCGATACTGAATAGTAACCAATTAAAATGAGAGATCAGAATTATGCGCTTTTTGTACATCCATAGCAAAAATAATATAACAATTGCTAAAAGGAAAAAATAAAATGAAATTCTTTTAAAAGTTTCACCTTAAAAAATGTCAGTAAACATTTTTTTAAAATAAATATTAAATATATATTTTTGTCTGTCTATTCTAAATGAAAATAACGTGTATTATTAGATTATGCAAGCGTGAATTCTCAAAAAAATATTTTTGAGTTTTATTGAATTATTTGGGGTAAAATGCCGGCCGAATTTTCCGTATGTTCGCATTTGATATTGCTTGAATTTTTTTACTGAAATGGTCTTCAAAGATTTTTCTTTATAAACCAGTAAACAAATTGGATGAACACCCTCCAAATTAAAAAGTACACACGAAATATCAAAAAGCAGGGAACATACTCCCAAAAATTTATTTCCCTAAAGATTTTTAATAAAAAAATATTCAATAAAACATTCGTTCCTTAATGAAAAAGTAACGAAAATTTCGTTAGTGTCGGATAATTTCCTGTTTTATTTTTTATTTATTTATTTTTTGCAAATATTTTAAAAAGTTTTGAATCGCTTAGAAAGGTTGAAAATACCTGAGCAGAAAACCTGTAAAAACTGGAAATCTGAGTGAAAATTTCCATTATGTGTGAGACACCACCCAAAGTACAACTTGAATACTGAAGAGAGTGAATGAAAATTGAGAATATTTGATGTCACTCGGTTTCCAGCGATGATAGCCGACAGGAGGCCATCATAAGAAATTTATATTTATTTTTTTTATATTAAAGTTCATTTAAAATTTACTATGCTTACGTTTGGAGTACAAAGACAAAACTAGCAAATATTGATTCAAAAAGTCCCACATGTATTCCTTAAATAGATAATTCAACCTTGCTTTATCATGATGGTAATTTGGCTGATTTGGTAAGGACACATTATGACTACAGGAGTGGTTTCCCCAATTGATACAAGAAGCGCACTTTTCTTTACTAAGGTTGACATTAATTTCACCGTTTAGGGAAAAGAAGAAAATTATTTTAAACACGTTTAGTCACTAAAAATAAAGTTTTCAGTAATAAGAAATAAGGTCGGATTAAAAAATATCAATTTAAAAAATGACTGCATTTATACTTATTTACAATTTTTATTTCGTCAATCTTTAAGAAAGTTTAATTCAATCAATTACACCAGAAAAGAAGTAAAAAGAGCTGTTGTTATATATGGGCAGGAGTTGTCCAGTCTTTATTTTCCAGTCTCGATGGGGTCTAAAAATGTATCCGCGTCCTTTTGGGTGATAAATTATTTTCCACCGTACAACTTCTTTCTCACATACGAAACGTCGCTAGCTTCTCACCTCTATAATTACTTCCATGAAAAGTGCTCAGACGAACTACATTCCTTAGTTCTATCAGTTCTAACTTTCACGGTTAAGACCTGCCACGCTATTCACATTGTAACGAACCACTCTCATTCCCTTCGTATGTTCCACTCGAGCGGCGTCTTCCCACGAATCGACTCACAAGAGAATGTTTTTCCGATCACTAAAATCTTAACCGGTTCAAGTCTAGGATTAACCATTATCATCCCCACATATCGGCATAAAGTATGCATATTGCTCTTCTACCTCGAGTGGCTCTCTAGCCTTATACAGGATAAACATCAGTGTTGC